TATTGTATTGTTCGTGGATATCGAACAGGATCTTGACGAAAAACGGGTAGCAGGATGGTTTCTGTTGCGCGAGGATTCGCAGAGTAATAGAGATTCGTGCGTGATTCCCATTACGGGTAGAAAACCGGTGAAACACAATGATGATCGGCTGTAATCGTTGCAAACGTAATGTGAGATCATCGCGGACGATGATCTGGGATCACGGTTTTACGGCTGCGACTTGAATCGATGTCACCACCGCGTGATACCGTAACAAAGACGTTTACGAGACGAATGACAGAATTATCATCTTCAATTATGCATAGATCTACGCTTATGTTAATTACGACCTGACTATGAATATTAATGAAATTTCACGTTTCTAGGAACTGTGACGTGAAAATTGAAAGTGATTATCTGTTAGAGATATTATATATGTAAAAGAAATATGAAGGCTCTTAAAATTAAAGAAAAATATGAATGAATAGAGATTAATAAAATATTTCGATGTTTGCAAAGATTGAAATGATTACGAATAGCAATTCAGCACACGCATTAAATCGATGGTTGTTAAAAATTTAATATCCGTCAGAATTCATAAATTAACCGACCAATTGTCGATACTTTTTAAGACGAGACGTGTTTTGTAAATTTTTATTTTCCGAGACACGTGCAGTACGAAGTGATAGATGTTACGTATAAAATTTATTTATAGAATGTACTCAGAAGCCTCGGTATTACTAAATGCAATTGGCACTTAAAATGGGCCATCCCATTTCTCTTGAGCAACCGCACGTTTAACACCATCCCTCTTCATTTCTTGTAATGACTGATCATAAACAGCTGTACGTGCAAGATTTTCTTCGACGAAACCTTGAAAGAATCTGGGAACACTCGATCGATCCATTCGTAAACGCTACTCGAATGTGACGTTTTAATTGGACTTCAATAATCGATTAAATACATGATGTTATAATCAAGGTCGTATACACCATGCTTTCGACCTTTTCATTCCAGGCAACCCTTGACCAATGACGATCGATAAGAACGGATCGATGCCTTTCAATTCTTTGTGATGCATATCTACTTGATTATTACAAAAAAGATTCAAATCATACGTCAATTTTCAATAAAATTATATCCTATGATAAGTTTATTAATTACATACTGACATTTTTAATAAGGCAAGATTTTTTGTTGAAACTAACTAATTAATACAATTGTTTACCATCTCATCAACTCACTTGTTTAATTAGAAAATCCTTGCCACATTATTTGCAGAGTGATTTTAATCTTTCGCTTGATTGCGTATGCTTGAAGGTATTTAATATAGAAGCTTCTATTTTAATTAAAATATTCATGTATAATTATTTAATTATGGGAGACTGATCATGGATTTAGATATTATAGAATTAAGAGAGGTGTTTCTTTGAAGCCAAAGGAGTTCTATACGAATCATGATTACATAATACATACTTTGAATTGTGAAACATTATATACGAAAATTGCACACGAAATATTGTTGAATTTTCTTAGTATTTAGAAAATGTCAACAATTTCTGTACAAATTTGACCGCCGACGTTCAGTTTCTACTACAAATTGCACATCGTGCGAAATTGCAAAGAATAACAGCAATCAACGATGGTCTCGAACGTTTATTGCTATCTATGTTTCCTCATTGTTGCATATACATTACGACCCACAGCGTGTACATTCTATGTAGTTATTCGCTATTATGGTAGATAGATTCTCACGGTTGAAGAAGTAAAGAAACATAATACGATGACAGACCTCTTAAGTAGTGCAAACCAACTTTAGACGTACGTACGTCTATAATCCAATTTATCCTATGAAAATAATTACTTTTAAAATATTTCCTAAAAGAGTGTCTTACTCGTTACGTTCTCAAAACAGAGGACTTAGGAATCATTTTAATTTTTAATTATATTTTTTCTTCCTATAAATTAATCTAAATTAAACAAAAGGCTGGTGTAAGTAATTATGAAGTTATTAAACAGAATTACGCCTACATATGCGAACAGAAGAATACTTTAAACAACTTAGATAGGGAGAAATAAATCATTGAAATTGCAATAGTATATTCTTCACGATATAGCAAATATCTACTAGAGGCCACATTATTCTTTCTGTGAATGAATGAAGTTCTTTTCCACATAAGACTAACCTTTCTCTTAGTATTTAGTTTTCCTCTGAATGAAGGGGCTACCATGACCACGGGAAAAGTCGGGATTACGGATCGTTCGACCTTCGATCTTTTCCCTACGTCGCTTAATATCGTTGAACTCGAGCTAAGGTCTTCGAATAAACTTGGTCCTATCGAATGACCAAAACGTTATCCTGATGGCCACGGTTATTCAAGTGAAAGACCAAACGATGAATCTATATAACTTTGTCTCCAAAACAAGTACATTAAAGAGTTAATTTATGATTAGGATCCCTTTCTCTAATCAGGTTTTAACCTCAACATCGTTTCGTAGAGACTTCGGTGTAATTTACAAAGTAGATATTCATAGCGTACAATTTATACAGTTGTGGAATACTACGTAGATAAATGATTATTACAGATACATTGCGTAATTTTAATATTGTCACAGACATTGAGTTTTATAACAACTTATAGTAATAGTATTCTTTATGCTCATCCCTTACGACAATAAAAGAATGGATTTTATACACTGTGAACATGAAACATTAAGGTCAATAAACAAGAAAGCAAGTGAATGTCCAATCGTTACAAGAATAAACTCTCATTTGCCACGTACTTATTTTATTGATAACCTTCCCCGCGCATTAGTGTAGCTTCGGCGAGGAGAAGGCATTAAACGTTTCCAAGTATTACCCCAAAGGAATTACGACAGCGTTTATGAACCTCTGAAATTCAGAATTTACTGTTTTACTTTTTCGACGTCCTCATACGCATTATACAACAACCTTGGGATTTTAGTTACGATGGAATTAGGATATCATTAGTGAACCTATCTAGCATTATCAAGGTAAACCCGAAGAGGAGTAAATGGATACAGACGATTTCACAAGATATACATAATATGCTACAAGAAGACCGGCGCAAATCCACGATACGATTATGTAATCTCTTTTTCGGCTATCATTCGGGCCGACGATCAAAAAGCATGTCGAAGGACGTCGGAAACACATCGTTAGAAGTGAACTATCAATTTCCTCACCTTCTACCGTCTATTTTAATTTAAATAAAATTCCAGAACGTTCATATTTGATGTTTGAGATAAACGAACATCGTTCTTTATAACCAATAAATCTTCCTAGAATTCCTCGTGCCACGGGTATATTTGAAATTTCAAAATTGAAGGAAAATATTCTTTCTAAATACGATTCCCCGAACGAAATGCAGAAGATCGAAGATTACGAATATATTATTCTTAAAGTCAAAGTTGAAATACGCCACTGAGATTATTGAAATTCCCTGTTGCATAATTTTTTCGAAATTTCAAAATTCAGAGGGAATAATTGTTTCGATCGGGACGGAAAAGAGGAAAAAAATATGTCCGAGACGAAATGCCATGCTCCGATGGTCGTTTAAGTCGCAGCTACGGTCGATTGCGGTTCGCTTGTTGCAAAGTAAGAGTCCGGACGACCTGAAAAGTCGTGGCTGACCTATGCACCTGCACATACGGATCACCGCGGACGCGTTCCCTCTTAAACGCCGCGACGTTGCCCAATTAAAGGAGAAAAGGACAGAAGGATGAATTCACCGATACTTAACGACGCAACTGCGATGCGTGCGTTTGACGTCGCCACTACATATTAGCTACGTCCGACAACATAATTACGCGAGCTTATGTATACTGCATATACAGTTGCATCGAGAAATTAATTAACACTTTCATGAACCTGTTCGTCGATGTTGATCACAAGAAACGATTACAATTTTGTCAATAAGAAACTTGAATAAATAGAATGAAGTTTGGGAATTTAGAGCAAGAAATGTAAATTAACGATTATGAGTACTTACAGAGAGCAATGTGCCTAAAGAACTGTGAAATTACTTTCCGAGACGACTGTACACACTGTGAAAGAAGATTACATGTTCTGGACAATCGGTAGCCAATAAATTGATAGCTTTAATCAATTATGATGGTCTTATTACAGAATTGAAAAAAATATTTTATCGTGGAACTACAGACTTTACCATTAAAATTCTTTTGATTTTATCGAATAAGCGATAAGAATCTATTTTAAAAGTTTCAACTGGAATTTTCACCCAAAATAAAAAAGCAATGGGGCAGTGCTTTTTCTTTAAAAGTATCAATATGAAAGAAACACCGCGGACGAAGGTAGGACCGTGAAATAGAATGATGTATTGAATGTAAAAGGTTAATAAAAATGATTACGTGTACGGGACAACGAAATCGGGGAATGTAGAAATCACGAGAGCAAATTTCTGGGACGCGAAACAGCGATTCGATGAATTCAGGAACGCCACCAATGTAGTAATGACTTTTAGACGGATACAGACGAGGTCACAGACATTGAGCCCGTCAACTTTCGAGATATGACCCGACAACAGCTAGTTCTCACTTAGATAAGCACCATTACAGACATGCTGAGTCACAATAACTAAAAGTAACGATCTTCGTCAGGTGAGATGTAACAATAGTCACTTGTAACTCCCGAGAATTGTTATTGACCCATGGAACCACACTGTCGTCATGTAGTATCAAGAGGATTTCACTTCCTGTACATGTACAGGTGTCTAGTACATTAAAAATTTCAAAATAATTTTTTTTATATAGGATGTAACACATTGTTGACTGATTAAATAATGCTTACCGGTAGATACGTTTGTGGTTCAATTATGAAATGTTATAATTTAGATTGCTAAAGTGCAATTAGAAGGTTATCAATGTATAAACGTATTGAAGACACTATCGAACACATTGAATAGTACTGTAAGCAAAGTTTACATAATATTGTACTTCAATAACTCGTGATCGATCAGCAATGTGTCAATATTTTCACAAGAAAATCAGAATCCACCGATTTCAGTCCATGAATTTCAAAGCTTTATTGTTGCCTCAATGTTGCTACTGTTACTTCACTGAGATTTCTATAAAACAAACAATAAATGCAGTGTGTAGAAGTATTGATTCCGGAATCACGGGAAGCGGACGCGTTACACGAGGCACTGTCCCAATACCGTGAAATGTGTTTTCGACAATAGAATCTGTACTATAAGATCATTTGAAACAACACTCCTTTTCGAATCGTATAGAGTAGAATCCAAATCGGTCGTCTTTTCGATTAGAAATAGCCAAAGTGACCAAATCCAGGACCGTAACCGTAGCCGTGGTAGCCACCTAGAGGGAAAAGCAAATTAGGGTGTCAATGTAACGTCGATGAATGTTTTGTTTACAGTGAGACTGATCACGTGGACAACGTCGATGAACATTTTAGTTATCTTTGCCTTTTAGAGAACATTAAGAGCACATGAGAATCTCTCATTTTGTATTAATAGATTTGAAGAGAATTCTAAATAATCACTACAAGTTCCTAATAATTGACATTTAAGAAATGCATGGAATATAAAATGATGAAAATGACAAACAAGTGAATGATGGGAAAGTATACAAAAAATTCATTGACGTTGAAGTCAGTCCTGACGCGTTCGAAGCCTCATCATACAATTATGAATACTCTCTTACCATAACCATGTCCGAAACCACCATGTCCATACCCGTAAAACGGGTATCTGTAGCCATAAGAGTAAGGATATCCGTATCCGTATCCGTATCCACCCAGGTATCCAGGTTTCGCAGCCACTATGGCGAAAACGACAGCCAACAGCAGGACTGAGTACTATCAGAGCATAGGGAAGAACGTATGAAAATTAAAATTTAGATTTACACCACTTAACCATAAATATCGAAACCATATTTAGCGCAAATTCTATTGAACAGGTAATATAAAGCTTGTGAAGCTTGCATCAATAATTCGCAGTATGAACAGACACCTTTCTCTAATTTTAGAACAATAGAAGACACGTGTCTTAAAAAATATATATTCTTCACTTTTAAAGTATTCAGATAAGAAACTTCTTCCATTTCTTTCTCTTGTGAATCACTTGGTAAATTTTATAGTGTTCTAAAATTGTATCTCGAACCAAGAAGACGTAATCCTTTTAATAAAATTTAAGATTAAAAGAGACATTGTTCTGGATAGAAAAAATATTAACAGGAAAGGAGAATTTTTGTTTAATGGAATGTAAACAAAATGACCCTTAAGTAAAAGAGAAAATCATGAAATTTAACTACTGTGTGAATAAATAGTGTCGAATAAATTATTCGTCGTTACTTACAAGTTTCGAGCAAGCCATTCTCTATCAGCTGACACTAGGTCGAATCTCGAGTAAGTGCACTAATTTTTCTCCGATCTATCCGTCGAGAACCACTGTCCGTCTAACGTTTGTACCGGGTTCTTTTATAAGAAAGGCGGGGTCCCGCGACGACCCCCAACAGTAATTTTCCCAGCCTTCGTATTGGCTTTCCTCTGTTAACACTAATAGCAAAGCCTGGCATTGTTACCCTGAGATTATGCGAATGCAACAAGTCATTATGAAAGAGAGACGGGCGCAGTAACGCGTTTCGGGATGGTCGCGGTACGCACGCCCTGTGAACACCGCCTTGACATCCAAATTCGTTAGGGGGTTCAACGTTTACGTACCGCAAACGTTCCATTATGTTTCTTAATTCAATGGAAAATCATGAAAACGTTTCGTCGTAACATTAGCCGGGAAATCCCGCGTAATTTCCGGAGTTTTTGAAATGAGTGCTTTTTGTGATTACGGAACGAACACGCTTCCAAATGTTTCCAAGAAGTTAAGATTTAGTCGCGGAAATGCACGTAAGAAGGAGGCACTAGAATCGAGGAGAATCATGTGTTTCGAAGTGACAACTGAAATTACAAGTCATGCTTGAACTTTAAATTTTCCGAGCAGGAATTTCTGCCTTCTAATTCTTCCAGTGAGTCATATTCTAGGATTTTCGAATTAAACGGTTCATGACAAACCATTTTGTAAGTTAGAAATTGAACAGTAATACGAAACGTAAGAAAGGATTGTTGAGAGGAAAACGAATTAGGGTATGTTTTGAAATGCATTATTAGTAATTGACAGTTTATTAAAGCAAGTGAAAATACATTTATTCATCCCTAATAGAAAGAAAACCGACAAAACTAGAAGTCGAACAATCTTTTTAAATGAATCATGAAAAGTCAGTGTTCCAGGATCTGCTGATAAGCATCTTCACCCAAAACACACCTGATTAATTGGTGATAAGACCTTAATGTCAGCCTCGTCAGTTTTTAAAAGTACAAAACGATGAATGGTTTCCAACCGACTATTACTACATCGAAGACATTTTGATTATCGCCGAAGTAACAATGCGTGCTGAAACACGGAGTTCAATGGCATTCGAGCGACGAGGATGAAACAGAAAGAAGAAAAATCAAACGTTACGTAACAGGTGCAACGAAGGCAAGCTGATCGTGTTACCAAATGGCGAAATTACATGCTGCACGGAATGGTGGGACGAAATGGCGAAAAAAGGGGAAAAATAAGTCGTTGTGACACGCGCGGCACCGTGGATGCGAATGCCGTTAATTACAGTGAATGCGTGAACCTCTGGTATCGATTCGGGCAACGAATTGCCGCAAGTTCTTCACCGTTTTTCAGTTAAAGAAAAACGTCGGCATTAATTTGATCGTTATCGAATTTTTCGTTTCTGACTTATTTGACTTGCGGCGCGAACCCCATTCCATTAATACGAAAAGGTAGCAATTTACATGGAGCCCGAGAATCCTGAACGGATTGCCTCACACGGCGAAATCTGCCGATGACTTGAGAGACGACTCGTCTTTCACAGGGTAATTGATCGTCGTGCATGCGGTAAGTAATTATTACGTTTCTCGGGGCAGGGGGAAAAATGGCGTGAGTCCGTGATTCATTAATTACGGCCTGCTTTCCTCCGCAGCGGCCGCCTTATTCCACATGCAAATTTATTTCAATACGAGTCCTTTTAATTTGATTTGTTTTACACAGAGCTGTATTAGCCATTAACGAGAACGTTAGATTTGCAGGAGATTTAACGAGGAAACTTATCGTCGATTCATAATCGGTTCAATATTTTTAATTACTTTTTGGAACCTGAAATCTAGGTTAGAAAGTAAACTAAAAATATTCGATATGATATAGTAAAACAGTGCGCAACAAGAAACAAAGGATATTTGAAATGATTGTAAGAAACAGACCTTCTACGTTAAGCGCAAAAATATCTATGCTAATCTTTGTTTTATACCCGGTGAGATCTAAGTTTTCAAGCGATATGGTTATTATTCGAAGATGAACATTGCTTCAAAAATATAAATGTATAAACTGTAAATAAATCTACTAAAGACAGGTAGTTTTTTTTACAGGAAAATTGTAACCAGTAAGGTAATCCTTATAAAAATAATAGGAACCTAAAAGGAAACCAGAAGGCAAGGATGCAAATAAATGAACACACAACAAGTCAATCTTCCAAGTAGATTCTCACGCCTATCACTAGCTCTTCTAATTATTCGTTTAATCGCCGCATCGACAGCACTACGGTCAGTATCTGCTCCAGCCTATTACGTGAACAGTTTTTCTCGTTTTCATACTATTTCCCCAGAATCAGCGATCGACCGAAGGATTTTCCGCATGTTACGTGTTATTAGAGTCCTAGTCGCCTTGAAGGTGTAACGATAAATCGATTTTTACTGCGCCGTTACCGATCTCGAGCGAACGCTCGCGCCAAGGACAATGGCGGCGTTCGTCCGGCCGATCGCCGACACGATCATCCTCGTTGATACGCGACACGCGTGTATGCAAAATCTGCCGGGAGGAGGTCACGAAAATTATTAGACCGTAGTGCAACATGCATCGTCGGCACGATGCATAATTACGGGATAAGGCCAGCCGGAGCTATGGGAACTCTTTTTGCACGTCGTAACGATGGGAATGCTTGACCAAGCAGCAAACGCGTGTCCGTTGGAAACGACGTGTCGGATGCCAATTAATTTGTTCCGTTGACGGATCGCCCGTTCGATCTCCGCATAGCTTTTTTCCGTCGCTCCGAGGCGAGGACATCGTGTCCGATTGGGATCTGCTACCGGTGTTTGTCTATGGGAAGCTTTTATTTGTTTTAATAATCGCACGCCGGGGAATGATATAACTAGCTTTATGAATGGACAGACTTAAAATAACGGAATGACGACATATTCATCATCTACGTATGAATTGTATGATTGAAAGTCTCGTTGATCGTTTCGATTGTTTATTTTAAAGGAGATAGAAAATTACAAATCTTACTTATGTAGTCTGTATATATTACTGTGTACTAATAATCAATTACATTTCGGTAACTGAAATCATAGTTACATAGCTCCCTCACACCTGAATTTGACTTAATCCACTTAAGAATACATTACTAACTTTATTATTTCACGGTTGGAAATTAAATTCATACGAAAAAAATATAAAGTTGTGTTGTTGTTGTTGTTGTTGTTGTTGTTGTTGCTAGTCATCGATAGAACGGGTTCTTCGTTTTGGGACTTAATATCGAGATGTTGATTAGAAATTCTGAATTCCTTCTTCCCCACATTCCTTGGTATACTTATGCGGTCCTTTAGTATTTCATTTTCATTTATTAATGAATGATCGATAAAAATCAAGCGTTCCTATAAATAATTTAACTTAAAAACTACAATTTGGTATCTTTAGTTTCATTAACCTCTTCAAGCGTGAACACTGTAGATCCTAGTGCGCGTGTTACTCTTCCGAGACCTTATCCCCAGCATCTGAACTACATTCCTTACACACGGATTTCACGCTACGAATGCGCCAAGGAAAAAGAAACTGCTGTCGATCGGAGGCCAACGATTCAACAATTTCCGACTGACCCTCCGATATTACTTCCGCATCGCTGTTCACCGGCGGTTCCGCCGATTTAGAACCGTCCACAGCTTTTTCGGCGGGCGTAGCTTGTGGTTTCTCAGGATCTTGATGTGGCTGACCATTATTATAATGAAACTTGGGAAAGGGATAATATGGAATCAGCGGGAAAGGCACAAAGGGTTCCGGATGACCATGGAAATAAGGAAACGGTTTGATTTTCGGAACCAAGGGATCAAAAAAGACAGGGCCGAAACCTTTGTACGGTACAATTGGGAAACTTGGATACTTGTAGAAAGGCGCGCCACCGTAAAAAGGACCATGGAAAGGATACCCACCATTGTAATTATTTCCAGAGTCCTTATCATTCCCTTGATTATTATCATTATTCCCACTCTCAGCTTCCGTCTGCGCAGCATTCTCAGGAGAATTTTGTGGTTGCTCTGGCTTCCCATTATTATTACGATGGAAAGGAGGGTAAGGAAAATACGGACCGAAACCATGGAAAGGACCATGAGGACCAGGTGGAAAAGGACCGCTAAAATTGCCTTCGGGATGCCCGAAATCTCCATGAGGGAAGCTTCCATTATATGGGCCAGGATAAAAATAAGGCGATCCATAGAAACCATCATGGAAAGGTCCATAAAAAAATTTCGCTGGATAACCGTAACCACCCAGAACCGACTGTCCTGGGTTTTGATCCTCGTTTAGCCTAGACGGATTTTCCGCGTCCCGTTCGTTCCCTGGAGCTAGTTGATTTTCAGCGACTTGTCTGTGAGGGTATAAGGCACTCGGATGATTATTAAATCGTGAACGATGAGGAGCGTAATAAGAATCACGATAATTAAGATTGTATCTCTCTGCCAAGCCTCTAACTGGTTCGAGATTACCATCGTTCTCTCCGTTCGTATCGATACCAGCTACTTCTGGAGGCTCGTGCGAGGTTGCGGGTGTTTGATGATGATGGTGATAATGGGGATTGAAACCGTAAGGTAGATACTGATTAGACGAATGAGCCAACGGGGGAACAAGATCGGGCTTGAACTTGAATCCCGGTGAATGTTGGTAGCCGTTCTGATAGCGAAGAGCCGCTGCGTTAATGTCACCGTCTATGGAATTCCCTCTGTCGTCGTTGTTCAGGTTTTCGGGGGTGACAATGCTCGCCTTGCCTCGAGCGATTTCTGGACCATGGCTTAAAGTGAATCGATACGGTTCGGGATTATAATGTTTCGGATATCGAGCAGCGTCCGGCGTTACGTAAGCGTCCTGAAATCCTTTTCCATCCTCGCGCAGGGACTGACGGCGCTCCACGGCTTGCCTTTTCGTAAGCTTTCGAGACACTTCTCGGATTTTTGTACCAGTGTCCAGGGTGTCGTCTTTCTGCAGCAGTTGCGTGCCCAGCGTCTTCTTCGATGATCCAGGAAACCGCATTACCGTCTGGTTCAACGCGGTATCCTGCCACTCGGACAACAAGGTGGACGACAGGACCGACGCGATGTT